GTTTGTTGTTTTTTTTTTTTACTTAATATCTCACAAACTCGAATTACTGTTGGCCATATATGCAAGGGTGTGGCCATTCACTGCGTTATGGGCAACCTATCAGAAGCCACATACACAAAGAAAAATGAATCTCACTCAGAAGTCATCAACTGTCATTAGCAATTCAGCTAGAGGTGAGGCCCCTGCCACAATATTTTTTAGATAATTGAAGTAATTTATTGAGAACATGTATGATTTTTACATAAGATAAGGTCTCACTGTGTAGCTGACTTGAAACCATGATTCTACCTCATACACAAACATGCTTAGCAGTACCTTGCTTATTATTACTCATCCTAACACAGATAAACTATAAAATCTCTCTTCTGGGTTAGAACATGGGTACATGCAGCACTGAATAAACTTCAACATGTATGAGAGAGACAATTATTTCACTATTTCATTTCCATTTTTTGGTTTGACCATATAATATATGTCTTTTAAGCTCATAGAATTTTCCTGATGAATAATTTAACCTTAAATGAATTATCAATGATAGGATTCTCTAAAGAATAAAGTATTGAACACCTAAAAGCATTACAATTTCTCTGCCAAAATGTATTTTGTCACGTAAATGTAGTTCTTTGACCTGGATAATTACCTACTTGTTTGAGTTTAGGAAGACATTGATTTTCTTTTCTTCTTAAAATAACACTTGTATTTCGGGTAAGTGTGATAGAGAATTTATACTGGGCATGATCAAATGTGGAACTGGTAGACATGAGTGTATTGGTAGTTGTTACTACACCCAGAAAAGAAGATAATGCAGGATTTACTATTTACTGATTTGTACTCAATTAAAATCTAGCCCATATTTCTACATCTTGCTCTGCACAGGTCCATGTAAGTGCATTTTCCCTACTTGTTATAATGTGATAACAGCTGTACTCACAATGATAAAGAAACTTTTCTTAAATAATATTTGTTATGCCTATGTCCTCAGGAACATGGCTCTAATCTTCAATACTAAAAACTGTCTCACAACATGTAAGTAGCACAGAAATTTCCATGAGAGAATTTACTACAGGCAGTTCTGTGTTAGCTAAACATGAATTAAAAACTCATCACAAAAATGTTACTAATGTGATGAGTGTACAAGAGGATTTAGATAGGTGTTTGGAACAATGGATTGATGCTCTTTATCCTATTCAAATTATTGGAAGGAGGTTCAGAGTTTAATAGTAAGGAGCTATCTTGAGTGTCATGTCAAATACTGATGGATTTGTGTTACTTCTAAAATTTACAATGATAGTCATTATAATTAGGAAAAAGTTTAAAGACACTTGCAGGTTATTTGGCATAATTCTAACACCTCTCTGGATATTTAACATTGCATAGTGAGCTTATGAATTTAAAGAATACTGCTCTGCTGAGCTTCAATGCTACAAATACTACTGATAAAATTATCCATAGCTTGAGGTCAGTTTTTACGTTTTGGTCAAGCTTCAAGAATGGCATATATAGCTTGATCATGCCAGCCCTTTTTGTCCTGGGAATACTTTTATTCCTGCTTATCGTGTTAAAGCTTGTCTTAAACAACATCAGTATATTGGCAGCCAAAGTACATGGCTTGAAATTGAAAACAGACAGAATTATTAATTTAACAGACTGGTAAGCCAAAGACGGATAAGATTCTGCACAAAGCCTTACCAACCTAACACAGAAGTGTATTGCTTTTGATAATGTATATCCCACAATGGGTAAGAAAGGTATTCTTGTCAGAACAACCTAAGACAGACTCAGTCTTGTTTAAGAAATATAAAGGGGGAGATGTGGAGAGCTTTGGGGGCTGCCTGGCAGGAATCTGACATGGCCAAGGACAAGGAAATGAGCTTCAGGCAGGAATCTGGCCTTAGGCTAGAACGAAGAAGTAATTTCAGGCAGAAATCTAAATATTAGTCTAGAACAAAGAAGTAGGCTTCAGGCATGAAAATGACTTTGGGCTAGGATAGGGAAGTAGGATCAGATATTTTGGTCATCCTGATAAGCCGTTAGAAACAGTGATCATGGGACTTTATTTATTGACTTGCTTGTTCTTTGACTATTTGTGTTTATTGTCTTGCATGTTCCTTGACTATTTGCAGCTATTGTATTGCTGGTTCCTCAACCAAAAAAAAAAAAAGAAAAAAGAAAAAAAAAACATAAAATGAAGATACTGAAATGACCAGCAGATATTTAGATGATGGGAAACTCTATGAGGTATTTCACCTTTTATACAAGGGAGATGTTTATGTGACAAAAGGATGATGAATTTAGTACTCTCCTGTCTACATCTGTATTTAGATTATTTCTGAAAGAAACCAAAACCAGACAGAAAAACTCTGAGCCATAGATAACTGTAAATAGCAATGTCTGGCTATATGCAAATCTTTACTGGGAACGTTTGACTCTCAGATTTTTTTTCATTTTTCTTTTTTCTTTTTCTTTTCTTTTTTTTTCTTTTTCTTTCTTTTTTTTGGCACCCCTTGGTGGTCAAAGACAAATGTCATTCTAAAAACATGCCAGGTGAAAAGAGGAGATTTTCATTTGTGTAAACTGAGACTGCAAAGAAGAGAATGATCTTTATCTATAGGAAAATACAATGGTGAGTATAGTTACATAACATGAAAATAACTAACTACTAAAAATATCAATTCTTGTATTTAAGTATAGCTCAAGCATATTCTTTCTAAAAACAAAAGGCGAATTCTCCTTACAAAGACACAGATTTTAAGGGGATGAGTTAGAAGGAGAGTGTATTTCAGTAAGGCAGCAACATATCCTAAACCCACCTCCCCTGCACACTTACCCCTTAGTTCTCAGAAGCAGCTCCCTGGAGGAAAGGATTCAGTGACAGTATCAATTTGGGGGTGTGTAAAGACCAGTGAAGTAAGTAATAATTAGAAATGTAAAGTTCTCCATGGACTTTTCAAATATAACACTATCTGATGAATATGAAGTGTTTTAGGGCATAGTAAAAATTGAATGAATTACCAAGTACTTGTTATATTCTCATAGGAAAAAAAACAAATGAAATGAGTGAATTTATTCTAACTCAGTTGGCATTTTGAATTTCTATGAAAATATACAAAATTTAAAAAAATCCCTTAGTCAAGGAGGAGGGATGGGATAGGGAGTTAAGGTGGGGGAGGATGGGGAAAGGGGATGACATCTGAAATGTAAATAAATAAAATATCAAATAAAAAATAAAAAACTCTCTTAGTCTAATATTATCACTTATACAAAATATAACCTGTTAAATACTTAAGAGAGTGCTAAATTAGACAAAGGCATTTTGCATCTCTAGTGGCAAACTTCCAAAGTTTAAATTAATAATTAATTATAAAGCACTAAGAATTTTAAGTATAAAATAATAGAAATAATATATTTATTATTCATTTAAAATTTTATAGATTCAAGGAAATTATGTGGATTTATTTGTACTTTATCATTAAGATTATTTTAAAGAAATTAAATATCTTAGACTCTATCATCCCATCCATCTATTTATCTATCTACCTACCTACCTACCTACCTACCTACCTATCTACCTACCTACCTACCTATTTACCTGAATATATGTTAGAATGGGTCTTCCTCTCGGGCCCATGCTGGCCTTTTACTTTCTTCCTTCAGCCTCTTAAATGCTGAGATGTCAGGTGCCTATCAATATACACAGTCAAAAACAACACTTCTATTCTCTCTTTCGTATTCCAAGAAAATAGATTATTCATATTAATTGATGCCAAATACTATATAATATCCAGTCCTAGTTAAACTTATTTGAAAGAGGTAATACTGCTAACTGTTCATGGGTTAGCAGGTTTTTACACAAATATATCATCATAGAAACACAGGATGAAGAAAATCTTATGTATATTTTAAAGTCAACATTCTTTTAATATACTATTAATTCTAAAACACAGTTACAAAGACAAACAATACAACAGTTCTTTAAAAGTATTTGAAGCTTTATTTTGCTTAATGAGATCACAGTGAATTCTCAAAAATATTCAGCAACTTTCTCCAGTATGTGCCTTTTGAGTCCTGGTCTTTTGGTGAATTATCTCTTGGTTATCAGCAGTGTAAGAACTTAAAAGTAGCTAACTTTACATAAGAAATACCAGATTAAGACACCATAGAAAACATAAAACAATACTTATTATACATATTTTCTTAATCCCAAAGAGAAGGAAAATGATGAAATTGAATAACAACTTAAATAACAGCATGATTTGATCAGAATGGAAGAAGAAAGATTGCCAATGTTCCAGGGTCTAAAAAAATCAGAACTATTAAAAGCAATATTGACCTTTTAAGTAAAAATTTGAATAAATGTCATTTTTACCAAGGAAATATGATTTGCTTGAAAGTATAGTCATATAGAAGTTCAGTTTCATCTTGATATTTATGTTCAAGAGTGGTGCCATCACCAAAGGTACTAAAAGCTTAGTATGTGCCTTACTTATCTTAAGAGGTATATAGAAAGCTCAGGACATTCCTGGAGCCTCCATGCCTCTTGTTCTGGAAATGATATGAGGTACTGAGGGAGAACTGTCCTCGAGGTGCCATGACACAAGGACTTGTGAGTTTAGAAAGCCCATACTCAATTTTCTATGACAAAACAAAAGAATGTTTCATGGCCCGCTGGAATTGTCCCTGCCCCAATTAATTACTTCCATGCTGGAGCAGAGTGATTTTGTAGACCCTGTTGTGCACATAGTAGAGACTGGATACTGCAAATGAGGCTGGAGAGTGATTGGAGAGCAGTAGGAGAATGGTCTGAGTGCTCTGGACCAGTGAGGTTCCTATTGACTTAGAAAGCATCGCATGATTTGATTAAAGATTATGGGGAGGAAAAAAAGAGCAACTAGCAATGATGAAACTTTGTGATACAGCTTGGAAAGGGATGAGATAGATTTGGAAAAGCAGCTAACAGTCTTCTCAACAAGGAAAGCTGAAGATCACATGCTAAGAGTTACCTTACTGGATCTTTTCCAACTCTTCCTCATTAGCATTGTCTGTAAATGAAATAAAGCATTTCATTATCTTTCATCCAGTACTGAACAGGACAGCCATTGTTTTTAAGGGGAAGTGTAATATTAATTGATCCTTTTAATAACAAAACATTTCCAGCAACAACTATACAAGAGAAGACTGCTTCACACACATATATGCATGAGAGAGAGAAAGAGAGAACTTTAACATTCAAGCAGTCTTTCTGGTGAGAGTTCACAAGCATTATTCTTTGTATGAAGAAATGACACTGTATTTTAAATGTAATGGATGACTTGGAGTTAGTTAATTCTGAATTAGAAATACAAATTGAGTTTCATGAAATTGTCCTATTTGAAGGCGAGGATTTAGAATACATTTTACATAATTGGGTATATAACATTTTTTTTCTTCAACCTACATTCAAAGCTGTTGCTTTTGTCACATTTTAGAAACACTTAGGCATTTAGTTAATTATTAACTGTACAGTTGTCTACAATGTTTCCAACTCAGAAAAAGGCTAGTTAATTTTTTTTTTTTACTAAAACGTATTCTCTATAATATTCTGTTTAAGTCATAGTGAGAGGTCAGTTTGGCTAAATGCTTTACTTAACCTTCTGAAGAGTTGTTATAAGTGCTTAACATCATTGATCTCTTTCATTTATATAAAGAAAAGCATTAAGCCTCCCTCAAATTTAAATAATTCTTCTATTTACTATTAAGCATTTCCCTTTAAGTACCTAGATGCAAACCTTCCTCTTTGTCCTACCATGACTTATGATTGTCTTTAAGACAGATGACAAGGAATGTGGGGAATATGTAAGGAAAAGCTTGCTCTGTCTACGTGAGGGAACTGCATCAACGTCATGAGCTCCATCACTGTCACCAGAACTCCTTATGGAGAAGGTCCATCCTAGAAAGCATTCATGCCTCATAAAAAGAGAGGATAAAAAGTATTTTCACATAATTTCACACCATCTTTGACCTAATGAGGAGGGAATAGAAGGAGGAAAGGGAATTATGTAGCAACTTTAGAATAAGAAATAGAAGAACCATAACATTCCCAAAGACAGTGCTACATTTCTTTCATTTTTGTCTTCATAAAGTCCATTGACCAAAACATGAGGGAGTTACAGATTTCCAAATGTTATAAAAAATCCCACTCCCTGGTTTTCAAGCAGACTCAGGAAACAGCAAAGTACTGTTATTAAGGCTACAATAAAAAAAAGACTACAAGAAAGTTAATATTTTCTAAGTGCTAAGGTACAATTCATTTTGAAGCAACACATTCAACCACTGGATTGAAGAGATAGACATTGTAGACACCAAATAGACACTTGCTATTGATGTTACATAAGTGATTACTGTCAGAACCTGATGATCACCAATAATAATAACACGATCAACACCTTCATATCAGCAGAGGTCATCTGCAACAAAGCTCTTCAGTAGTTAGGCATATCCACAAGAGCTTCCCAATCAAGGGTGCAATAACAAAAGTTCAACTTTGTCAGAAAATGGAGTGTCAATGTATTTGAACATGGCAATTTTTGAAGACAATATTTTGAGTCAAAAACAAGTGAAATCAATTAGAATAAAGAGAAAAATTGAAAATGTCTTAACTAGTAATCATTTGTCAGTATCATTAAACATCTAAGGATCCTATAAAATCCATTCTAAAAGAAGTGTTAGGCTATCAAGGGGGTGGGTACATTAAGAAGGGTAGACTTAGGTTAAAAAAACCTCAATTACAGTAGTTCAGTAAAAAAGTTAAAAAATAAATGAACTTAATAAATTAGCTACTGGCATTCCCATCTTTAGAAGCTATTAAAGAAGATGGGCTGTTTGGGTAATGTTAAGGATAAAAGACCAAGTACATTCTAGAAATGCAAGGTTTATATTTTGCTCCATGATTGTAACTTCAGCTGAGAAACATATGAGTTAGGGTTTTAGGGTACCAGTCTATGACTATAGCATCATTCCAGTTCTTTATTAGCAACTCAACCTTTCTTGAAGCCACATAAGGATAAGTGGCATAAGAATATGGCCAATGATAAGATTGCAGAAGCAATTGTTTCTAAAAGACTTAAAATATCATTTTTAACTTCCTTTTATTGTTACAATTTTAGTAGATTATCCTGCTGATATACATACAAAAAAGCACAGAACAGATAGTATACACATCTTATAAAACGTACATATTTAACACTTTATAACTAGATATGTCTTCAAACATTGTATAAAAGTAATAAGACATATCAAAATTAAACCAAAGTATAATTTTTTTTTATCTCATACAAGGCCACATAGTATCAATTCACATGTTTCTGAGGACTTTCCAATTTTCAACCTTATCCAAGCAATCTGTAGATCTATGTTATCTAAGAGAGTGTGTAACACAAATTAACTCACTTTTATGTCACAAATTCTCCAATGAAGAAAGCTGTGTATTGAACTCTGCTAAGAAAAGAGCCAGAAAGAACTCAAACACACTGTCAAACAAAAATACCACAGGACACACATGTATGAATTACACACTTTTTCAGATTCAAGACAGGCCATGCAGTCAAAACAGAAACAACAGTTGTGCCATGCAGTATAGCCACATGGTTCCATGGAGGCTTTGTTTTCTTGTACACACAATGCTGAAGACTCACAAGTAGAAGTATACATGTATGTTCATATCTGGAAATTTTAAAAAATACACTCAATCATGTACTTAATGCAGAAGATTTTAATATTGACAATGATGAAATACATTTGCTCGTTGTTTTTCCACACATCTTCAATTGTTGTAATTAGATGTTATGTGTTATCAGAGTTCTAGTAAGTAGGACAATAGGTTATTCAACTTATTCTTTAGTTTGGCTGATTTCTAGAAGTGACAATCCATATAAGAAGTTATTATCTCAACTGCATTATTCATGGAGTGCACTGTCACTATCTAGTGATGCAAATGGAACTCACAAAATAAATGAAATCTTAGTGCTTTTTAACACTAAGTTACATGTACTTCCAGTTCTTCTGTGCCTAGTTTTATCATACTTTACTATTGTTAATATTCTATTTCCTACTTGGTTGTTGGGACATATTTGTTAAGGCTTTGGAAACTCATCTCATCAATTTTCCCTTTTAATTCATGTAAAATATTTAGCAAAGTTTTATACACATAGAGATAAGAAATGTGTGGTTGTTGACCTAAAGTGTCTACCCCAAAAGCCTAAAATAAATTATTTCTGAGATAATAAGCAAAGAGAACAGAAATTTTCCTCTCATGTTGTTGTGTGTGGAGGAGCAACTGCACCCTAATCCTCTCACTAGGGATGTGACAAAGGCTATGATGAATTCCAGCACTAATATTTTAGTTGGAACTCTTTTTGAATAAGAGTTGTTCCTGGGCAATTTGTGAAAGTTCAGCATTCCATTTCCACATCAGTGGCATGATCTATATTCACAATAGGAAAATTAAAGTTGAAGATATATTGGATCTCTGATTATTCTTAAACAAGAAATGTCAAATGTGTCCCACACCATACTTTGCTAATACTAGATATATTGCTTAAGGAAGGAAAGAATATGCCATGTAGTCAGAAGTCTCTGAGAAGAACAATATAGCTAATCATTAAAACACTAATTTTAAGATTCTATCAAAGGAAATTAGATCATTATTTAATCATGATATAAAGGTATTTGTAACAACTTCAAAGATTTCAATATTAAACTTAGAATAAAATCAACATGAGAATACTTACTCCTTATAAGACATTAAACATTAGGTATAGGATGCTAACTAGGTTTTGAGAGGTGTCTTCACAAGAACGTTTTGCAGACTTACACATATTCTATTATATATAACATATAGTAATAAATGTACTATATACACATACCCTTCTTTCTGAGAAAAGCATATAGGTTGGAGGTTAGCTGAAATAAAGGCACACTTTCAGCAACATAGATGACAGTGGTGGTGGTTGGAGGAGTTTGTGTGACTGGAAGTTACAAACGAGAGAGCATCCGCTGTCTGCTGGACAGCTGCTCACTGGTTTGTAAATATTGTAGGAATAGATGTAGATTGTTGCACTGTTAAAGGGAGAAAGGACTTAAAGAACTTTGGGAGAAATGAAAAGCATTTTTTTCTTTTAAATTCTTATATAAATGACATGTATTTATAAACCCTGGATGTTTATATAACATGTATGCATTGTTGCTCAAATCAGCATATCTATCTCTGCAAACATTTATCATTTGGTGGAAATACATAAAATCCTTTCTCTTAGCCCTCTAAAATATCTAGTATGTTATTGGTCTCTATAGTCACCCTACTGTGTGCCAGCACATCAGAAGTACTTGCCTCACTCTGTAACCTCCTCATTCTATATTTATAGATATAGTTAGAAACTCATATTTCTACATATAGGATACTAGAATAGCTGGAATACCAGATCCCAGTAGAATTTTCCATTTTCCATATTTTAGCTTTCTGCCCATCCTACCTTGCTCCTCTACTGCTAAGCACATACCTTGCTGTTGATTACAACCGTGAGGATAGCTAGGATAGCCACTGGGCTCACTCTTCTCTCTCCCTCCTTGAGTGTGACCAAGTGCAGGATGAGAAGTACAGAAGTGCTCCCAGCCATGACTGACCTGGTCATCTCTAGAGGTCTTCCTTAGCTCTGCCTGAGTCATTTGTTTCTCTAAGGAGAAGAAGGACTAGTGGGAATTGATAACAGCATTGAAGGATGCGCCATCTCCTACATGGGCAACAGAACAATCCAGCACAGGTGCAGACTCTGAACATAAAAGTCATGAGGTAAGACTGTGAATGAGGAACACCTGGCAGCAAGGACATCCCTGAGACACAGTCAGAGTAATTTGAGTTATAGCAATAGCATGACAGTTTAGGGGAGAAAACATTTGTGTCAAAGGTGAATGTGATTGGAGATAAGCAAAGAAAAGGAGACAAATGGTATTTTGACAAATAACGTTTCCATACTCATTTGATTTCCTTCTCATTCATATGTAAGAAGTCACTGATGGTCACCTCTTGGTTGCTATTTTTTTTCTAATTAGAAATATATTGTGCCTGTGATGTCAATTTGAGCCTGTTGGGAGGTCTTCTCAAGGACTGTTGAAAATAAGTAATGTGAGAAGTATCCTTGTCAATGCTCATACTTCCCTCTCAGTCAGAGGAACTCAATAGTTACTTTGTTATCTTGATAACTAATTCTATCCCTTAAGCTCTCAGGTTGATCCTTAAAAACTATCCTTTTCTATCCATTATCAAATCTCCCAAAATAACCAGAATAGCAGCCACACCAACTAAGTCTTTGGTAATTCTGCAGGTGGGTGGCCTGGCGATACACAGGACTTCCGGGTAGTTATTTTCATTTATGAAGTGCTGCCCTGAATTAAATTAGCAAAGAAAACCAACACAGGATTAGTGTATCACCAAACTTTCTTGACCTGTTTTAACATCTTACAGGCAAGCCTGCCAAGCCCCTTCCACATCACCTTTGAGGTCTCCTAGCTTCATCACCTTTCAATAGTTTTCAAGTCTCCTAATCTGTCTCCATGCAGCCATCTGAATCCCTTTAATGCATTTTCTACAATCTATGAGAGCAGAGATACAGGTTTGTTTTTCCAGGCAAATACAATCATGTCACTTTCCCTTTGCAGACCTTGCCATAATTGCTCATTGCTATTTGGATAAAGTTCACAAATCTTACCATGGACAACAGGCCCTCCACTCTGTAGCATGCAGCATGGTGTTCTCTCTCTCTCTCTCTCTCTCTCTCTCTCTCTCTCTCTCTCTCCCTCTCTCTCTCCCTCCCTCCCTCCCTCCCTCCCTCCCTCCCT